GGTAAATAGCACAGTCCTTTTTGATTAGAGAAGTGACCGAGCAACTCAGAGGTCAAAAAATTAGCCCTCAAATGTAACCTACTGCAAAGTGAATCTCAGCACTGTTTAAAATGGAAAGAAAGATGGGGAAAAAATGTAGGGGAGTCAAGACTCTCAAATTTCTCCCTCACTCTACTACTAACTTGTTAAAGCAATTTGTACAAGAACACATTGTTTCTCTTCACCTCTGCTGCCTATACTTTAGTATAATACTTAGCTATGTCACAGGGCTATTGTGGGAATTAGCAGCTATTAGAAACCTTTCATCCAAAAATTTCCATAAATTAAAGGTCTTTTTTTCTTTTTTTAAGAGGATGAACTGCTCAACAGTATTGGAAGAAAACTACTAGTTATGGGAAAAAGACTTGTGCTGCATTGACTTATGCATTATTGAACAGTTATGTTCTATCCTTTCAGCATCCACTTCTGCCACTGCGTGACACAGGCTTTTGGGCAAGATAGACCTACGGTCTGACCCAGTAAATGGCAGTTCTTATGTTCTTATGTAGGTGCTTGCTTTTAAGCACTGGGTGACAGGATTCCTGAATGTAAAGCTCATTTGAATGTTTCACGATAAACATTTCCATATAAAGTACGGATTCTCTGACAAAAATCTCATCATACGGAAAAGGTCAAAACCTCCTGACAGGCTTATCAACCTGTTGTAAGTCTGAGAAACTGCCATGTAAGTAGTCACTCACCTCAAGGGAAGAATAGCAAGGAGTATTGCTTTTTCGTGCACATGCCAGCCAAACATGAAGGAGCTCAAGGCACAAAGTATCAGGCACTGAAGGAATCCCTTGGGCCCTTGAGGTTTAAACCAAAGACAGAAAACAGAGGGCTAGAAACAATAGGCAGAAATAAGACTTCAGTGTAAAATTTCACAATTCTGGATACAATCCATGGTCCTTATGACAATTACCGATATTACTGACAAATGCAAATTAATATCCAGCTCCAATTCTACTTTGGAGGGAATTTGTAGCAAAGGAAGAGGTACGTATTTTCGCTGAGTAGATCTAATGGTTACAAAAGGTGACAAACAGATGACACCGGAGAACCAGAGAACAAACTCTTCCTTCTATAAAGCAGGTATATGTGCAACAGGAGCACAGCTTCAGCTGCACCACCAAGCCACTGGTGATTTGCATGACAGGGGACAATGGCCTCTTGGAATTTAACTTACCCAAACCATTTCATGCAAGTTACTGCCTAATTACTCAGTAACCTTTGCCCAACTGCTAACTGAAATCTGTATGTTATCTAGACTGGAAATCTCTTTATGAAATGACTAATCTGAAGTTTCAATTTCCCATCCTTTATTACAAGAGAGATGGGCATCAAACTTAAGCCTGATGAAAAGCAAGAGATCTACATTATGCCTGGCTCCAGCTAATTCTACTGTGAACACAGCCTGTTTCCCTGATGCTTGTCACTTCTCAGTCCAGCCTTGACATACCTCTTGAATTCTAAGCAGATTACTTACCTACAGCGGGGCTGTACAACTTCTCAGTGTTTGGAGGCACAATAAGGCAAACCAAAGGCCTCCCTGCCATGCCCCCAGTGTCGTCCCTATTGCACATCATGTGTGGCCAGTCCCCTCCCCACTGCTATACCACATGTACGGGCAGGCACTTCACTGCACATGCACTGCCTACTCCTGTCTCCAAGCCACAGGTTCCAGGGCACTGCACCACTTCCTACGGCAAGCCCAGAAAACAGAAGCCAGAAGAAAAGCCCAGAAATTCTGGCTGTTGTTGCAGTAGGGTTCAAAGCAATAGGGGAGCAGCAGCCAGGCAGGAGCCTAGGGGCTGTAGATTAATCCCTTGCAGGCCACATGAGTGCCACATGCTGCCAGCTGGATGGCCCTGATCTACAGGATTATTCTGAGCATGAAAAACACATTTTGACCAGGTCCTCCTGTACTTATGAGTCTACTGAATAACCTACAGTTGACATAGGCCCTAGGTGTTATGCATAGTTGTGGAAAGTTTTGTTATACAGGGAGAAAAGAAAAAAAAAATTGCTACTGCCTCAATAACTACCCTGATCATTATTTTTCAAGGCAAAGTTACTTAATTCCAGAGCAATAGGACATTGAAAGTGCTCACTAAACTTTTTACTCAAATGAGAAATAAAACATAGACAACAGAAAGTCTAAGTTCTAGGACTACCATTTGCTTAGATTTACCAATATAGAGATGACAGTACAGATTAATGTTGCAAAGGGTGTCACAGAAGGAAGGACAGTGTGCTGAAATTCTTGAACCAATCCTCCTGTCATGGCAGCCTTCTGCATCTTCTCAGGATCAAGGAATTTATATTTTAGACCTGCAAGTGAAGATAAGTCAGAGAACTACAAGCATGCACAACTGTTATGCCAAATACAGTTCTACAGTTGTGTTAATACATGTTTGCAACATTACAGACATTTTACTAAAAAACTGAGTAAATCAAACAATATTAATAGCAGCAATTGGGAATCACATAGTTTTGTAAAGCAAACAACTATGAAGATGTTTCAAATTCATGAAAGTCATGAACAAATACACTTCTGTGTCTTGTTTCTCTCCCCCAAGGGCATCAGAGCTAAATAAGCATTGAAAATACAAAGCGAATTTACTGTACCAATAACTGCTAATGCTTTGTCCACAGCATTGTACAAAGCCCAGAAATTAGGAGCCCAGTAAGCATGGCATAGCCCTCTCTTGAAGGGAAAAAGCCGTGAGATGAGTTGAGGTAGCTGGCCCTGTACAGAAAAACAACAGAAGAGATTACCCATTTAGGAGATTCATTAGGCTTTTTGTTTAGTTTCTGACGTTAAACTTAGTTTACAGGAATATTTGAGGAGTGGGATGGAAACTGAAGTCTTTACCAATACTATGAAGGGTCCCAATGAAAGACCAGAAACAAGGCAGACAATCAATCCCAGTAGAGTTATGCGAAGAAAGCTGAAACTGCTCCATTTAAGGGATCCATCTACAGAACAACATTCTTATTAATATAAATTGCTCTGGAATAGAAGTCAAAAAATGTACTTTAACAGTCAGTGACTAGGACAGATATCACTCGAAGTCAGGGCTGCAGGCTGCATCTGGCCCGTGAAGGGTTAACGTGTGACCATTCCCCCTGCCCCCCAGGCTGCTGTCCAGTCACATCCCTGCTCTTACTGCTCCAGCTGCCCTGGTGAAAACAGCTAAGGTTTCTGGGGCAGGGTAGCATGGCAGGAGGCCCGGTGAGCTTGCTTCCCCTGCAACAGAACCAGCAGGGAAAGTGGGGGGAGAGGGAGAGGTGGGCGGAAGAGAAAAAATAGTCCCCACAGTGGTGGTAGCAATGGGGGACAAGAGGCTGGCACTGATTGTACGAACAGGGATCTGTACACAGCGGGGTTCTCAAGCAGCCCCGCAGCACGCAGCCTGTACTGTATGTGGCCCAGGGCCTGCAACCTGTACAGGATGCAGCCCCTGGCCGCACCAAAGTTAGACAGCCCTGCACTAAGTGAAGGCTTGCACTAAGTAGCATTCTCTAACAGCTAGGTTCATAAATCTTGGTTATTCCTCAAACATTAGAGAATTCTACTCTACTTTTGGCATATTAATAAAAATATGTATTTATATAATATGGTAACATGATACACTATTCATACCACTGACAATGCCACTTAAACGGGCACATAGTTATTTTATAAAGCTCATGTTCTGTACAAGTTTAATATGAGAAATGGCCTACATTTCTCATATTGCCTACAATGGGGTTTTTTGGGTAAAAAACCCACAAAAATATGGCCTACAGAAAGTTCTCCCCCCTATTTTTAATTACATCCAGAAGTCATTTTAAGAACACAACTAGAATGTTTATTTTGCTGGTGCAACAAGAATTAAAGCTATTTTAAAGAACTAACGTAATTATTTATAAATAATGTATACACACATTTCCAGGAAATCTAATGTAAGATGAGGAGCTATTGTTTAGAAAAAGAACAGCACATTACATGCAGTTTAAAATGCCTACATTTTTACATCAGTTTTAAAAGTCTATGATCTTTAATTGCTGTGCCTTCATGAGCATGGATATCCAACAGAACAACAATAAAGAAAAGATACATTCAATCCTGTAATATGTTATACATTTGAAGGACACACAATGGCCCATCAGAATTTATCTGTACAGTATTTCAAAGTAGGAGTGAGGAGGGGGGAAATGAGGGGAATTAAATTCAGTCAACCTATACCTGTCCCGCATTCCCTGCCCCCCTTGGCCTGAATGTCATGGTCACTGAATTTTCTGGAAGCAGAGTCTTAGTTTATTTTGTCAGTGAAATGTATACACCACTGACTGGTTGCATTTCAAGGCAGGCATGAGAAGGAATCTTTTAAATATTTGGACTGCATTTTTCACCCATCTAGATATAAGTAGTTCTTCTGGTGAATATGAAAACCTAAAATTCAAAGCAGTTTACAAAAAGACAACCAATTCAGTATGATTAAATCAGTTCCAAGTAAAGAAGATAGTGACATGGATTCAACAACCACACATTGGCTTATTCACTTAGCCAGTGACTGTCTGAATTCTCCTTAATGGGGGATGCAATTGTTTTTTACTGTAAACACCATTAATTTGTGAAATTTTGAAGTTTAAAGCAGTGAACATTTTTGCAATGTTTATTCCCGTATACTTGCTCTTTACTATGCATAAAAGACCTACTCTAGTCTGTTCTGCCAATCTACTACCCTCTCATTTAAATATTTAAAACTCACTCTTCTCTGCGATGCCCAACAAAGTGGGTCATTATCTGTTCTATAGTATTTCATCCTTATTTTCATATGTACAAGGAAATATTTACAGTAGCCCATGAGGATCTAAAGCAGGGGTAGGCAAAATATGGCCCGCGGGCCAGATGTGGCCCACCACGCAATTCCATCCAGCCTGCGGGACTCCTCCGTAAGCCCTGGCTCTGGGCTGCCCCTCTGCAAGCCAACGTGCCCCTGAAGGAAGTACAGCTTTGCTTGGTGGCAACCTGCCCCTGCCCCACCCCAGCCTGGCCTGACCCACCCCAGCCCCAAGCCCCGGGGCTCTGGGGACAAGAATCCTCTGCCTGGCAGAGCTTGTGCCTGGCCACCCCCTCCCCCTGTGGCTGTTCCCAGCCTCCCTCCCTGCCTGTGAGAGTGGGAATGCAGGGGAAGGCTCCACCAGGGACTCCCACTGGGGGAAAGGGGTGGGAGTGTGGGGGCTGCAGCTACAGGGCCGAGTGGAGCTGATCCTGCACTCTGCCACTATGCATGGCCGGGGACTCAGGTTGGAGCACTATGGGGTCGGACTATAGTGCAAACATTAATTGTACTTACCTGCTTTATTTTCAGTAAAGCAATAGGATCGTAGCAAGTATACACCATAGGCTGGGGCTACATAGATGTAGATGTGCTTGAAATGTAGGAGAACAGCAAACAGAGCAGCCCCTTCCAAATGCCTTTCCTAAAGGAAAGGAGTGGCTTTGTACAGTTATAAAAAAAAAATCTATCATGAGGTCTGAAATCAAACCCAAACTACCTTTTTACTAATAGTTTTAATGGTATCCCTCCTGCATTGTTTAAAGGAAAATATATATATCTTAAAGCAGTGAGGAGGGGAGCCCATGTGCTCATTTATCAGGAGTAAAAGACCACAACAGTACTAGGTAGATTCAAAGCACAAGATAATTTCCTGCCCCTCTACCAGTGTGCTAGCATTCAGCAGGTTTCTTGTTTCTTTGCTGCTGCAGACATGCTGTCCCAGAAAGACAAGTTTTTTTTCTGTCTAAGGTAGCTCCCTCCAGAAAAGCTGATGTAACAGCCAGGGTGGGGAGGCATATGCTGTTTTGATAACCGCAGGGATACACAGGTCCTTCCTTCACAGAAAGACACGAAGACTGTACCCACAGCACAGCTAATATTTTTATGGCCAGATCTGAACTCTCAAGAATAGCACAAAAAATCCTACGTTTGATTTTAGAAGACAGCAGTTCACTCCTTCGGTTTCAAATGAAGCAAACCCATGAAATAGTTTACATTTTTACTGGAAATTATTTTTTGAAAATGTCACACACAACAAATGACAAAAACAGAATATTTGATTTTAGTTACCTGAAATAGGCGAGCAACAGAAAGAAGCATTAATCCAAATAAAAATCCATTGTACTGAAAGTGAATATCTAAGCTTGAATCAAGGAAGAAGTAGAGAAGGCTTTTTCCATCACTGCTTGCTTAAAGAGACATGAAAGGTTATATAGTTGATAAAAGACAGTCAAATGGAACCATGACCCAGAAAAGACTTAAATTATTACCCTAGGTTATCTGAATATTAGGTAAGTGCATAAACTGCTTACGTGCACAGCACTGCACTGCTTTGTAACTAACTGTGCACTCTTCAGCTGCACCAGAAACAGTGAAGGAGAAGTAGCTATACCAGGGAGCTTATCAGAAGCCAAGTGGCAGGAGCCAGGCAGTTTTACTGCTTCCTCTCCTCATTTTCAATGCTTCCAAGAGCAGCCTTAACAGTGACTATTAGATGCCCTGAAAATGAGGCAGAAGTTTCAAAGCCCAATACCAGAGCACAGACAGCACCATGTACTTAACTAGCACTGATTATTTGAATAAAGTTTGGATAAGTGCACACACCGAGTAAGTGCAGAGCCATTTTTCATTCCCAAGGTCATAGTACTCTTAGAGGATGTTGTACAAGATCAATAATACCATTTTAACCATATATTCAACAGGTAGTGGTTTTATGCCACACATCTGTTTGTGGTATCTGTCTTCCTTTTTCAGACAGCTAACTGAAAGGATACGATCCACAATTAACAAACCAAAGTTCCATAACAGCAGCACAGCAAGAACAAACATTGGTTTTTCCAGAAGGTCTTTTCCAGTTCGTTTCCCATTTACACACCTGCAGCATCTGAATAAGGGAGGAATGAAACAGTAATGCAGAGTTATTTATTTTGGCATCCATTTTATTAGCACAAGCGCTGGTCTCTTCAGGCAAGTACTGCCATTTCTCAATTACTACCCTATAGCAAAATGGTTTTCTGCTAGTGTTCAAGCAAATAAATATAGGGAAAAAATGATTTGATATTATTTAGTGTTGAACTAGAAATATATTTTTCCTTAAAAATGGGAACAGTTCTGCATTCCTTTTTACACATCTCTGAAGGCCCTATTAGTTTCAAGAAAAAAATGCCTCAGGCAGAATTTACACAATTCTTGAATTTAAATCTCAATGTAGAAAAGGAAAAATCTTCTACAATCATAGAAGGCCTTTAAGCATATTATTATTATTTTTTTTAAATTAGATGTTTTTGCAGTCTCTTTTTCTAGAGAAGACAGACAGAATAACTTGTTTATTATAGAATCACTAAGTTTTATTTCCATATTTTCATGCACTAGCACAATGCTACAGTGTTTAAAATGGAATATTTAAGATAATATCTGAAATCATTTCTACTGAAAGGGTACTAAAATGGAAAAAAATTAGACCAGCAGACATTTTCTTTATTTTGAAATAAAATCCTTGTTATCTTGCTTCTTAATTTGAAGCATATTACACTGGTTAAACTAGATACGTTTGAAATCTATTAAAGATTTACACTGAACTGAATGCACTAGTGTTATTTTAAAAGGGTAGGTTTATTACATTAAGTCAAAGAGAGCCTATTCAACAGCTCTCCCAATTATACAGGAATCCTGGTTTTCTCTGATAAAAAGAAATCTCCAGTTCTGGATTAAAAAAAGTAACCTAAACTCAACACTTTTCCATGAGCAAATGAAATACCGTGTGTGTGTGTGTGTAACTACATGTATGTAGTTTCTTGTATTTAAGTATTGTTTGACTTAATACTAGAGGTAGGTATTTTCTGTGATATATCTTCTGTTGCAGGGGTGGCCAGTCTGCAGCAAACATGCCCTAAGAGCCTCTACGTGTAGTGCTTGGCAAATAAAGCAGGGACCAGAAAGCAGAACAAGAGGGCAGGGAGAGATCAAAGTGGCAGGTCAGGCAGGGAAAGGAGATTGGAGTAGAACTTGGGGAGGGCATAGGGCTTTTATTTATTTATTTATTATTTTTATTTATATTAGTAGTGTTTCATTTTAATCATGGAAAAATGTGGAGTTTAGGGTACTTTTTTAAATCTGAAAATTGGGGATTTTTTTTTTAATTAGAAAAAACCAGAATCCCTGGCAATCAGCCCTTCAGACCATGTTTTACAAAGAATAAATGGAGTATTACTGTATAAGACCTACTTACAATATCATTGTGGCAGGCAATATGCCTTTTTTCTTCCCTTTCAACAGAAGACATCCCTCCCCCTCTTTCTCATGCATGAACATGCACGTTCCAACTGTAAGGTATATCTGAATACACTAGGCATTTGTATTTCCATCTGACTGTATGCCATGTTTAGCTTTTACTGAGAAGAGCACCAGAAAACAGAATGACTTAATATATGACAGGAGAACACATTAAATAGAAGCAAGAAAGTGACTCATTGAAAAATCACCATAGGATGATCAGAAGACAATATGGGGTCATCCAGAGTAACCCCCTAATTCTTTCAGAATTCACCAGCCAAATACACAACATGGTAACAAGGTAGCTAATGTGTAAAATGTAAAAGCTCACTTTTTATTATTATTTTATCATTAATTTTATTTTATTATTTAGAATTATTATTAGCAGCAGCCCTTCCAGGAACAAGAAGAAAAAATACCTTCTCTTAGCTCCACACCCTCATTTGTTTCTGACATAGGCTTCAGCAACTGTGCTGTTCCTATAAATTTACAAACCTAAAGCTATCTTTTGTGACGACCACATATCTTCAAAAACAATATTTTAAACAGACAACATACTTTCTCCAGGGAACAGAACAATTAAGACTTACTCACGAACTGCATATATAAAGAGAGTATCTGTAAGGATGACGGAGAGTCTTTGGAAGAGGACAGTGGCATAACTGGCATAGTACAGATTTTGGATAACCAACATTTCTGGGTCAAAGTATTTGGCAATGTGTGACAGTGCACATTCAAACCAAGCAAAGAAGGGAGGGTAGTCCAAGGTCCACTCAGAAGTTGCCTAAAGACAAAAGAATATTTAATATATTACAAATGAATATTAAGGCACAGTTGTTTAGAGCGATCATGTACACAGAGCTCCTCTCAATTAGATCCACAGTGGAACAGCTGCAGCAGGATGAAAGACTTGAGTAGTTTTCTGTGTAAAAATGGCCACAGCAACAGAGGAACAGGATACTCCTTGGGACTGATAACGGGTCACAGGTAGCTTGTTACAGGTGCCTGGTCTATACCCAGCACATGTTGTAAAGGAGTGAAGATTTACAATTTCACAGATGTTTTGTGGCCTCCGTCCGAGTTTGACACCACAGTAATAGGCACAACAGGCAAGAACTTGAACAAAATAATTGACAGTGGACATTTGCTGACATCAGAAAACAGCAACTGATATCTTTGTTGCAGCCTCAGCAGACTTATTTTGTTCTATATATGTCCTATAGACTTATTCATCCTTGTATACATCTATGTACCTTCCAACAGCACAGCAAACACTGCTACCATCTCTCATTCTCTCCAGAAAGAGATTTTGTGAGAAGTGCCAGGTTTCATGACAGTGTGTTTTCAGGGATTTTGTTAACGTACATACTCTTCTGTGTGCGTGTTGCATTGAAGAAGGACAATGTGCACTTTGAGCAG